ACGGGGACAGGGAACATTCCTCGTCCTCGTTCCCTGTTTAGGTGACAGAGGAAAAACTTTTCGGGGTGGGGAATTTAAATGGGGATTCTGTGCCCTGTTAAGGTAGGTCCCTATGCCAAAAATGAACATCCCTACCTATCTCTGATAAAAAGGTCATGAGTTTGAAGTCTCACTCACATGTTGTATAATGTATTAAAAGCAAAAAAAAATAAATAATAATAATAAATAAATATGTAGCTTTCATACTGCAGTTTTTTTCAAGCAAAAATCGTTCATAATAAGTTGGTATTGACAAAGCGAGCATAACTCAGTGGTAATTGACATATATCTCTAACTAAAATTGTGAGTTCGATCCCCACCTCTACATATTGTACTAAAAAACAATTGGTATCTATTTTCGAATAGGTCAACAGGTTAGGTTGCCATTTATAAACTTAAAAATAACTTGGAATAAATTTAGTTAAAAATCTAAGAGTTTAAATTTCAAAGAAAAAATCTAGGAATTTAGGAAATAATTTAAAACGGAGGAGGGAGGCCAAAAGTAGAAAAATTGCAGACGAAATCTACTCCTAAATATTCCGGTGCCTACTTTCATAATTAATTTTAACTTTGGTTTATTTTTCATAACGAAGCAAGAAATGTAAATAGGCACACCCACTCAAAATTTATTTTTTAATTTAAGAGATAAAAATAGCTGAAGCCCAATTGTAAGCCCAATTAAAGATTAAAGAACTTCTATTTCAAAAATTTCAAAATTTACCCTGTATTTAGGATTTTTTAATAATATAAAATTTACCCGAATTTATTACATTTATATTTATTATTGTTATTTTTTTAAATATAAAAGATTTAAATCTCTAATTTGATTTTATAAACTTTTAATTACTTTGGACCCCAATTTACTCATTCATATATTAATTACAAAAGGATTATCATGATTTCAAATTCGAAATTAATTAATGGGTAGGGTTATCCATGATTTCAAATTGAAAATATACCCACAATTTATATCATATAACTTATTTAGTGTTATATCAAACCACAATTAACAAAAAAAGCTAAAAAAAACCTACTCTATCAATTTAGACACCCTAGCACATGCTTGATTATAAGATACACTTATATGATAAATATAAAATATATCTGACTGTTGAGTTCTTGTAACTACCCACTTGATACTTATTTGTAGATATAAATTATACCCGTATATAAAAAAATGAGTATCGAATTCACACCTAAATTTTGCAACTCAAATTATATTATCGATTCTTCGACAATATGGACTCCGAAAAAACTGAATTGTTCGATGATGATAACTAATTAAACTAGCTAGTACAAAAAATTGTTCATCTAAAGGTAACTAGTTAAACTATATCCGCATATAAAAAAACTAGTTAAACAGTACAAAATTAGTTTATCTAAAAGAATGGGGTTTCGAAAGGGAGCATTGTTCAAAACCGAAATTGAAAACTTTACAGGAATGAGGTTAAACAGTACAAAACTAGTTCATCTAAAGGAATGATACGATCTTAAAGATATATGGGTATGAAAAATATATCATGGTGAGAAGAAGACAAAACAAACCTCGACTTTAGAATGGTGAGAAGAAGTTTGACGGGTGGCCGGCGACGAGAACAAAGTAAATGGTCTATTACAGTCTGCTACGACCTACTACAAGATAAACGGAGTAAACGGTCAGTGACGAGAACGGAGAACCTTGACACGACGGCTTGATATCAACGAGTGAATGGAGTAAATGGTCGGAAAAAATGGTGTTTGGGAAAGAAGAAGAAATCGATGGAAGAACAAACGGGCAAATGAAGGAGACGAAATTTTTTTTGGGGATTTGGGTAGGATTATTAGGGTATTTTTATTTTTGGAAAGTGTAAATAGATATAAATTAAGTGATTTGAAATCTAACCTTCAAAATCAACCATTTTTAATTTCAATAACTTATTAATATTTAGGTGTAAATAAAGGAAGATATATTGGTAAATTGTTCATAGGTATCCTCTTAAACGGGTTATTTTATAACAAAAGTATAAATTTTATAGATTGAATCTTTTATGTAATTATAATTTCTAAAAAAAACCTGTAAATGTACTAATCCCCCATCTAAGAAAACATAATTTGATTTTAAAATTCAGATAATTGAAAATAAAAAGTCTAAAATAAACAGGTTCTTCTTTTTAATTCAAACAATTATTGAAGAGAAAATTTTTTATCTAAAATATTTAGTTTGAATTTATAAACTCAACAATTAAATGTTTTAATTCAAACTATTAAAGATAAAAAAAATATATATCTAAAATATATAGTTTGAATTTATGAACTAAACCATTAAAGTTGATGCTAATTGACATGTACTCCTTCCCTCGAGGTCGGAACTTCAATCCCTCGTATCTCCAAATTGTTGTACTAAATTTTTTTTTTATGTTGTTCTTTTCCTAGAAAAGCGACAGATGAGTGCAAAAAATTTTAAGGAAAAAATTGAACTTTTATAGTTACGAGGGAAGTATATTTATTTATTTATCTTGGACAAGTGAATCTAGATAACTGATACTTCAATTCACATGAAATTGATACCTCAATTCACATGAAATTTAGAAGCTATTTAATCTAATCACCTTTCGAAGATTGAAAGATCTGCTATACCACGAGATTCGATTAAATTCACATTATAGTGATACGAATCCATTTGTGACCAATTACATATATCAAAGGAGCAATTATTACAAGAAAGGCAAGGAAGATTCAAGAGGCTTTCGCACTGCACCTTCAAAAGCTTGTTAATGCACAAGAACCAACAAAGAGTTTTGAGCCCGAATTTATTCATAATGTTACTTCAATGAGTCAAGAAGAGAATGRAGCAAAGATGGCACGGGAAAAGTTGTCTATTTTGAGAGATGGCACGGAGGACAAAAAAAGTGTGCAGATTCGTGAACAGGTGCCTTTGCAGATTGCACCTCTTTGGAGTTTGTGAAGTCAAAAGTTGTCAAACCATATCCAAATGTGAAGCGCCTCCTACAGCACATAGATAAGACCATTTGAAGCATGACTATGTTTTCTG